CAAAAATTAATATTTACAGTTCAGTTGCCATGACAACATTTTATACTATCATTACATTTACATTATCACTATGCTACCATGTTCTAAAGCAAGCCTTCTAGAAATGACAGATGATATCATTTACTCAATTTTTAACTAGTGTCTGTCACTCTTTACCCATAATCCTTCGCCAGAGAATCAAGATGGTTGATTACATATCCTGATGAAAAAGTTAAATATCTAGAAATTAAAAAATAAGTATTTTTTTTGAAGCTTTTTCATCTGGCAACATTATGTTTGTTAGCTTATCCTTGCTCTTAATTATTAAGATACAAGATAATGTATTTGCTTTACGAGTAATGATTGCGTTTCTATAAATGACATTGGGTGTATGCAATAAATGAATTTTGTTTGCTTATGTGTGCTTATTGGAGATGTTATCTTTATTTTACATGTTGAATTTATTTTCCTCACAATAGATGTCAATGTTGACCATCCCGATGAGAAGTCCATCATAACCTATGTGGTCACTTACTACCACTTCTTCTCCAAGATGAAGGCTGAGACTGTATCTGGTCGTCGTATTGGTAAAGTTGTCATTGGTGCACAAGAGAATGAAAAACTGACTGACGAATATGATAAGATTGCCTCCAACTTGCTACAATGGATTGAGCAGACTGTGACAATCCTGAATGACAGGACCTTTGCAAACGCACTCACTGGAGTTCAGCAACAACTATATGCATTCAACACATATAGAACTGTAGAGAAACCACCAAAGTAAGTCTGTAACCTTCCCTCCCTCTCTCTCTAATGCAATGTTCCTACATCTATAACATCACAGATGGTCTGATTATAATTTCTTTCATTGCTTAATTTCTGAACTTTGTTTATTCATTACTCCATGTGTGCTATCTAAATCTGTGCTATTGTTAGTGTCACTGGCAACCATCTTGGATTTTACAATGCTTTCTCAGGGTTACTTGCGTTCCATTCTATTGGAAATTTAAACACACAATCAAATAGGAATCTAAAACTATCATCAGCATTTGTAAGCACTGAAAAGCATTCATAACATTTACCACAGAGTGCTCAAATTCAGACCATCAAAATTCCAAAAAAAAAACTTTGTAAATTTGTTTGTATCTGTCAAAGTCAAATGTTTGTCTATTAGGTGGGAGAGATTTGGTCTTTAATAATGCTTTTTTTCCATTTTAGGTTTACAGAGAAAGGTAATCTGGAGGTGCTGCTGTTCACAGTGCAAAGCAAGATGAGAGCAAATAATCAGAAACCATACTTACCAAAAGAAGGAAGACTAATCTCTGATATCAACAAGGTAAATTCTATTTTTTTGTCAATGTTAGTTTTCTTGCTAAAGGTTAGATTTAGAACTGTTGAGAATAAAGATTTATGATTTGAATTTATCTTTGTTGCGTCACAGGCCTGGGAAAGACTGGAAAAGGCAGAACATGAACGAGAGTTAGCCCTCCGTGAAGAGCTTATCCGCCAAGAAAAACTAGAACAGTTAGCTGCTCGATTTGACCGTAAAGCTGCCATGCGTGAAACCTGGTTGAGTGAAAACCAAAGGCTGGTCTCACAGGATAACTTTGGTTATGATCTTGCTGCTGTGGAAGCCGCTGCTAAGAAACATGAAGCTATAGAAACTGATATTAATGCTTATGAAGAAAGAGTTATGGCTGTAGTTGCTGTGGCCCAAGAACTAGGAAGCTGAGAAATACCACGATACTGATAGAATTAATGCCAGGTAAAAGTTACATTAGTTGACCCTTGAACCATAAATTAACATTCGATGTAAACTAATTGTATCCTACAACTGAACACTTATTATTGCTTTTTACAGAAAGGACAATGTTCTTCGCTTGTGGGAGTACTTGCTTGAATTGTTGCATTCCCGTCGTATACGTCTAGACTTGTCAGTTGAGTTACAGAGAGTCTTCCAAGAAATGTTGCTTATATTAGACTGGATGGATGAAACTAAGGTAAGACTTGCAACCTTGAGTTAGTTCTATTTAGGAACTCGCATTAAACACTTGACTGACAGATTTAAGGTGTTTCTCAGTGTCAGCTGATTAAAGTAATTGTGGTATTAAATCTAAAATTAACAATATAGCATGCATGCGTTATATTGAAAATTGTCAAAATTTTTTTAAAATGTATAAAATCTTGCGTAAAAAAATGTTGGTGGGGGAAGTGAGAACAATCAAGGTGTAAAGTATTATTGACATCACCACCTGTATCCTATCTAGATGCGCCTCCTCTCTGAAGACTATGGCAAGCATTTGATGGGAGTGGAAGATTTATTACAGAAACACGCTTTATTGGAAGCAGATATTGCTGTACAAGGAGAACGTGTAAAATCAACAAATAAACAAGCTAGTAAATTCCTTGGACCACCATCCGATGAAGCTGCAGGTTTGTTATTCTTGCCCAGCATTTAAATATGCCAGATAGTGATCAAATGCTTTTTATGTCTCATCAAATAGTTTACTCGTTTCACCGCATCTTGGGTGTATCAGGATTGGTGACAATATCTGAAGTGTGTGATTTTGTTTACTTCTGCAGGCTATAGACCAGTTGACCCTCAAATCGTCAAAGATCGCATGGAACATCTTGAAGCCAGCTATGCAGAATTATTACAACAAGGATCTGATCGACGCAACCGTCTTGAAGAGTCGCGTAAACTGTGGCAGTTCTTCTGGGATCTGGCCGACGAAGAGGGCTGGATCAAAGAGAAGGCTACCCTCATGACAACTTCAGATATTGGGCGTGATCTTACCAGTGTTAATATTCTACTCAATAAGCACAAGGTATGAATGCAAAGTTGCTTACCTTTACTGGGAAAATAAATTTGGGTAAAAATAGGGTATGTGGGAGGTAACAACCTGATCTGAACTTAGTTTTTGTAAACTAATATATAAATGCTTTGTTTCAGGCTATGGAGGAGGATATAGCAGGTCATCATGCACAACTTTTGTCTGTGAATCAAGTTGGCGAAGACCTGATAGAACAGCAACACTTTGGTTCTGGTAAGATTCGTGTCCGCATCCAAGAGATCATATCTATGTGGGAGAATTTAGACCACCTGACACGTGCTAGAAGGAGGAGACTGCAAGAAGCACTCAATATGTACCAGGTATTATTATGAACAGTAATATTAATAAACTTTCAAAACTAGTTAAACCATTAGGTTTAGGCCATGCATTGTCAAATTGTCTAGTTTGTGTTTGATCTTTGTGAGGTAGATAATCACACTTCGATGGCATCCTGGATGGTGCTTGTGTTGTATTACCAAAATTAATTTAAAACTGATTCGATATACCCTGTGGTTTGATTGTAGTTCTTTGCTGATGCGGATGATGTTGATACATGGATGTTGGACACATTGCGTCTTGTTTCCAGTGAAGACTGCGGAAGAGATGAAGCTAGTGTGCAATCACTTCTCAAAAAACACAAGGTAAGAAAAGAGACCTCTCACAATTATATTGATTATAACCCCTGGTCTGAATTTATCAATATTAACAATACAAGAATAATGTCCCACCATATTATCACTTATTATCTGAGAAACAATGCTCCTATTTTGAAATGCATGTCAGACATCATTGTTTAAATTGTTTTGATAATCCATCATCTTTGCACTGTAATTTTTTATGACAATCGTTTTAAGTGAGAGGGCATTTTTGTTCACGTAAACCCCTTTTAATAAAGCAAATTGTGGAAACAGTTGTCTGTGTAGGAAGGGAAAGAGGGGGTTTGTTGAATGATTAAATATTTTAGATTCTATATCTTGTGCACGTTGATGTGTACATGATTCTTATGGATGTCAAAAGTTGTATGTAGCAGAGTGATATTTTAACTAATTGCAAATTGAAATGCTTTTAGATTTTAACAAATAGCCAACATGAGTAACGTCCATCATTGTACATGCTAATTGTTATAACTGCTTTACGTAAGCATCACATATGCCTGCCTTATATAAAATATCATAACATAATTACATATGCTTGCTATCTACCATGCTTTCTGCTTTCTAGGTGTTAATAGGCGTACGTCAACTAGCCCGTAGTGTGAGTGGCTTTCACCTGCATGATGTGTGTGTGTTGTCATCTTGCTTTATAATGCTAAAATTTCATATCATGCATGTAGTTATTTTACATCATTTATGGAAAACTTAATTTCTGAATTCTAGTTAATGATTTGGTTTAATTCATTTTGCTCTACTGCATTGTTGTTGCCTAAGACTAGTATCTTTAATGGGTGATGATCATCATGATGCACTGTCTTCCATATGTGCTCAATGCAATGTTTATAACTTGTGTGCAATATTTAGTTTATGCAAAATTTTGACTGGTGACCATCACCCTTTAAATATTGTTGTTCACAGAACACGTAAATCTTATAGAAACAATTTCAGTTGCTTAAAGACCTGAAGAATACAAATTTTACATGTTTGCTGTGCATATAGTAACGTATGCTTTTGCCTGTAATACTGAACTTTATACGACTTGGTGTGTGTTAAAATGATTTGGTGACTAATGACACTTGATAACTAAAACACATTTCACTTTCATTTCATTTATTATCAGTTCAATCGTTAGTTTTGTGTGTTAATTATTTTGTTTTTCTTTACTTTGAAAAAGTTAGATAAACATTTCTAAACACAGGAATATTCATTTCACTGAGAACAAATAAATTCTATAATGTTAAAGATGCGAGGATAAAGTAACCTTAAATTGGATTGTGGGAAATCTCATTTGGAGAAATATTATTGTATGTTTTCTAGATCCATATGCTAATTATATGTAAATGACTTTCCATAAGGAATGTCAGAGTACTTCCTAGACAAGTTTTAAAAAACACAAGAGCCATGCCAAGCATTTATTCCTGTTTTTAGAAATGATTCATATCACAATACTTTCTGTTTATTTTATAATTATTGACTATCATTCATAATTTATATCATTCAGGATGTTGCAGATGAGCTTGGAAATTATTCTGCAGTTATTGATACTCTGCATGAACAAGCTAGCCATCTTGGAGATCAAGTAAGTGTTTTATGTCATTAGTATGTTATTTACTTGTTTCCTGTGTCGACAAACTTTCTTGTAGTATAATGGTATCATATGCATATTTAGCATGTGTTAATCGCTGTATCACATTGTTTTACAGGATAGACAGTCGGCAGAAGTACAATCTCGTCTGGGATCTATTGACCGTCGCTACAAAGAACTTGTTGAACTGGCTCGTCTACGTAAACAAAGGTTATTGGATGCCCTGGCATTATATAAACTATACAATGAAGCCGATAGTGTGGAATCCTGGATTGATGAAAGAGTAAGTTGATCATCTTTCTTGAGGCTACTATACATGCTTCTCAGTTTGCAATATTTCTTATTCATTGTTCATTTGCTTTCTTTTATGACAGGAACAAACTCTGTACACTATGGTGCCCGGTGAAGACCTGGAATCTACTGAGGTGGTGCAACACAGATTTGAACGATTCGAAAAAGAAATGGAAAGTAATGCTTCAAGAGTGGCGGTTGTCAATCAACTGGCCGGACAACTGTTGCATATTGAACATCCTAACTCTGCTGAAATTATGGCAAAACAGAACCATCTCAACCAACGGTAAGTATGACATTTGTCATGTAACTACATTGCTGTAGTTATCATCCAAATTGTCATACATATATCCACATACCCTAAGTGTGACATTATGGGTCTCAGATCGGTAAAAGATCAAAATTTATGTTTTTTCTTCAATTGTTGCTTCAGATGGAATGCTCTTCAAATGCACGTGAATGAAAAGAGAGAAGCCCTCAATGGTGCACTGGGTATCCAGACGTACCATATTGAGTGCAGTGAGACAGTCACATGGATCAGAGATAAGACAAGACTCCTACAGTCAACTGAAGAGTTGGGAAGTGATCTTGCTGGTGTGATGGCTCTACAGAGAAAACTACGTGGTATGGAGACTGACTTGGCCGCCATTCAAGCTAAACTGGACTCTCTGCAGAAAGAAGCAGATACTCTTGCTGAAGAGCATCCAGAGGAAGCTGATGCCATCCGCCAACGATTTGCTCAGATCACTGAGTGTTGGCAAGAACTTAGAATTATTGTAAGTGGTCATTATGTATGTGTGTTACATTGATTCTAGTAATTGATTCATTAACCTATTCACCACCAGTTCCCTCTTTTCATCACAAATTCACAAAATAATCCTGTTTATAGTCTGTACTTTCCTTCAGAAGATTGGGACAAAAATAGGCAATAGCCAACAGTGATTCAATTTTTTTCTGTTAGCTCCAAAATTAGGGTTAATTTCAGAAACATTGAAGAATATAGGAAAAAGAAAAATTTGGATGAGTGGTGGTAAAAAGGTTAACATGATTTTGTTGTAAAATCGCTGGTCATTATGGTCTAGCAAAATAATTGAATTTCAAGAATAAGGAGATTGTAATCGAATCTGATACTTGTGGGGGGAGGATTGTGTATATCAATTAACAAAGTTAGAGCTGCGACTCAAACTGAACCCATCACTACTAGTATATTGGGTTTATATCCCCCACCTATGCAAGATTACTAAATATATTTGTTTCTGATGCAGTTGCAAGAACGTGATGCAGCTATGGCTGAAGCCAAGGAGTTGCAGCAGTTCTTGCGCGATTTGGACGACTTCCAATCTTGGTTGTCAAGGACGCAAACAGCTATTGCATCCGAAGATATTCCTGAGAGTCTTGCTGAAGCAGAAAAATTACTGAACCAACATGCCGCTATCAAGGAAGAGATTGATGGCTATGATGCAGACTATGCTAGAATGAGAGACATGGGACAGAAGGTGACAGAAGGACAAACTGATTCACAGTACATGTTCTTGAGACAGGTATGTTTTGATGCTCCCAGTATAGTGTTAAGATGGAATTTATTTTCGCTTTAAACTACAAATCAGTGTAGCCACATGTTTATTTTTCATACATCACATGCTTAACCCCCCGCCATATAAAGATTTTTTATTTCCATTGAATTTGCCTACATGTTCTGAATTCAAGCCATGCTTTGTGAAGTAAATAAAGCTTCTCTCTCGTGTTGCATTTAAATATAAATTTTGCTTTTCCCAGCGTTTACAAGCATTGGACGATGGATGGGAAGAATTACATAAGATGTGGGAGAATCGTCAACACTTATTGTCACAGTCTCTTAACTACCAGATGTTTAACCGTGATGCTAGACAAGCTGATATGCTGCTCAATAAACAAGATAACTTCTTGACCAAATATGAGGCACCGGTATGTTGTGTGCTATTATTTGAAGTTTATCAACATGGACAATTCAATCCATGTCAAATTAATTATTCAGTACTCAAATTTAACTTGCGTAATGCCTGATTGTAAAAAGAAGGAAAAATAGAATTGTAGTGACTGACAAATTATTTCTTCAACCAATTGATGTTATTTCACTGGTGTAAAAAAATTGCATTATAAAACCTAAAATCTAGAGTCGATGTCACATAATTGCCATCAAGTCAAATAAACAACCTGTTCTTTTATCTCTCCACTATCAGACCAATCTTGAAGCAGCAGAAGAAGCCATCAAGAAACAAGAAAACTTCCTACAAACTATGGATGCCAATGATGACAAGATTAACAGTGTTATTGCCTTTGGTAACCGTCTTTGTGATGATAGTCATTATGCATCTGACAAAATATACAAAAAATGCGAGAACCTCGATGAAAGGTAAGATAATAATAAAACCATTTTCAAGCTGCTGCTCTTCAAATGTTAGAAGGAAGGATAACAGATTATGTTAAAATAATCAAACATGTTCAAATCTGATTTGGCAATGAGAAATGTTAGTCTTGTACACTTGTTTAATTACTTGTTAATGTTTGCAGGAGAAAGAACAACCGTGTAGTTGCTGACAATCAACTCAGCCAACTGCGAGATAATCTGCTACTGCAGAGCTTTGTACAGGAATCTGACGAGATTGGTCTCTGGATAAACGAAAAGATGCTGATAGCTCAGGATGAAACATATGACGAAGCTAGAAGTATACACAGTAAATGGCAGAAACATCAAGCATTTGAAGCAGAATTAGGTGCCAATAAAGAAAGACTAGATAAACTTAATGAGGTTGGTCTAGTAATATCTATTTTTATATTGCAGGGAAAATAATATAGTGGCTATATTGTCTGGTTCAGAGATATGTAGTGACTATTCCACTCTCTACATTGATTACATGTTCATTTTAAACAGTGATAATGTCTAAAATTTATTTATATGTAAAAAAATATAAATGTTAATGCTGATATATATTTATTACCAGATTTTCTTGCATTGGATTCACTCATCTTTAATCTGTTTCTGCTCTTCCATAGCATGGTCACGAGTTGATTCTTGAGAAACCAGAGTACGCTGAACAAGTGGAGGGACGTTTAAGTGATTTAACCGCCCAGTGGGATGAACTAGACAATACTACTCAATCTAAGGCTAAGAAATTATTCGAAGCCAATAGAGCAGCCCTGTTCAGTGCTGGTTGTGATGATCTAGATACTTGGATCAGTGATTTGGAGACGTCTCTACAACATGAGGCTACCGGCAAAGATCTGACCAGTGTCAATTTACTGCTGAAAAAACAACAGGTGAGTTCATATTCAACTTATTTCATTATTGAATGATGAATGCCCCAGTTATTACCAAAACAAAAAAAATCATGAAAACTGCTTCTGATGAAAGGAAATTAGACGTTGGCAAATGGCATTCCTTGTATCATAACTTATTGTCTTAACATTGCCATGTTCTAAAACTGTTGATTCTTGCTCATTTATGTAGATGTTAGAAAGCCAAGTTTTGGTGAAGAAAGAACAAGTCAATGAATTAGAAAGTCAAGTATGTACTTTACAAGATGAGGGTGATCTGGATAAAGTCCGGACTAAAAAATACACCATTGAAGAGAGATTCACAAAGATGTCAGAGCCATTGGCACAGAGGAGAGCTCTCTTGGAAGCTAACAAGAAAACTCATCAATTCAATAGAGATATTGAAGATGAGAAGGTGAGTTAGGAAAACAAGGATATAACGAACACCATTAGTAGCAGTGTTGATATTTTTCCAGAAAATTCCATCGATGACTGTATTGATAGTTCAGGGATCAAGAAATTGACATACACTCGTATTAGCCAAACAAATTCATTCAGTGATTTACAAATTTTGTGAGAAATTTCTGTTTCAATATTCAATCTCACCAAATGCTACAAGTGGTTATTCTTGCTGTTAAAGGGATAGTGTTGGCAGAATTTTGTTTAAAGCCTTTGACATGTCAGAATTTTTTGACTATTTTACCATTGGGAATGTCAAACTTCATACACTTGCGAGGTTAGTTATGTTTAAGGTATTCCAAATCCAACTGCAAACAGCATGATGAGTTTTATTATAATAACTTGGTCAATAAACAGTGCAATGTGCCAAGTTTTGATCAGTGTAACTAGAGAATGTTGTAACTTTCAGATATGGTTTTCGGTGAGGTTACTTTCAACTGATTTTTCCGACAATATATCTTCAACGTTTATTAACACATAAATAGAAGTTAACAACTAATCTTATCTATTTCTAGATGTGGATTCTAGAAAAAATGCCACTGGCAACTTCACTGGACCACGGCAATAGCCTGCTAGCTGTACAGATGCTTATAAAGAAATGCAACTCCCTTAAAGCCGAAACTGATGGACATGAACCTCGCATTGATGAAGTCTGTTCTCGAGGAAAGAGTATGATTGATGAGGGACATCCTAATTCAGAAGATATTGAACGACAAATTGATGAATTACAAGATCTATGGCAAAAGTTACTTCAAGCCATTGATGCCAGAAAGATCAGACTAGAAGACTCAATTAAGGCACAGAAGGTATAGTTGAAGGGAGAGGGAGTAGAAATGAAGTATATGCTGGTTTTAGTTTACTTATAGTGTAATCTCTTGTGTGGCGTTAAAGGTTAGTGTTTTAGGCTAGCATCAAGGAGATGGCGAGTTTGACTCTTATGGGTTAGCTACCCATTCAGCAGCGAAAATTCAAGTACATTCTGTCTCTTTGACAGTCGTAGTGTGTTTTGATTTGGGATATCCAGTCAACTCTGTTTCTCATTGCTCATAAAAAAAAAAACTTCATGAAAGTATTCGATTGGAATTTAGTTATTTGAAGCTTTCTCTCCCAAAAAATAGACTTTATGATAGAACAGCAATAACATGCTGAATAAGATGTACAATACTGATGATGTTGAAATGCGAGATTTACCAGTGTACATTCTGTGCTTAAATCACTAATCATATATGTGGTATTAACAATTTATTGTACGTGTTCTTTAGTACTACTTTGATGCTAATGAAGCAGAGGCTTGGATGAGTGAACAAGAGCTGTACATGATGGGTGATGACAGGGGACGTGATGAACCAAGTGCACAGACGATGCTGAAAAAACATGAAATTTTGGAAAATGCTGTAGAAGATTATGCAGATACTATCAATGAACTCTCACAAGAAGCAAAGAAACTAATGGATGAAGACCATCCACAAAGGTCAGTACAACAAAAGAATCTGGTCTGTTTATGTTTATCCGTTATTATTGAACACTGTTAGTAGTACAATCTGTCACCCACACTCAATTGTTGTATCTTAACAGTGAACAAATTGCTGTACGCCAGTCTCAGATTGATAAGTTATATGCTGGTCTCAAGGATTTGTCAGAAGAACGAAGATCTCGTCTGGATGAAACATTGAAATTGTACCAATTGAATCGCGAAGTGGATGATCTAGAACAGTGGATTGCAGAGCGTGAGGTGGTGGCTGGCTCTCATGAACTTGGGCAAGATTATGAGCATGTGACAGTATGTATTTGTTTGATTTACATGGTTCTCGCCAATCTGTTCTTTCTCACCCATATATTTTTCTGTACTTTTCATGATAATGTTCCTAAAATTGTCCACCAACTCTTTGTAGATGTTACAAGACCGTTTCCGTGAATTTGCCCGTGACACTCATCATATTGGCCAAGAGCGTGTTGCCAACGTAAATGACATTGCCGATGCATTGATTGAAGCTGGACACACCGATGCGGCTATCATTGCTGAATGGAAAGATGGTCTCAATGAGGCCTGGGCCGATCTGCTTGAATTAATTGATACCAGGACGCAGATGTTGGCAGCCTCGTACGAACTACATAAGTTCTATTATGATGCAAGAGAAATCCTTAGTAGGATAGTGGTAAGTTGGTTTAGACCTCTTTGTAACTCATTCTTCTTGTCTTCACTGATTGGGGTTTCTATTTGTTTATTTGTGGTTTTGTAATACAATATTTACACCAGTATTCTGAATGTGAAAAACAACTGCTGGGTGATTATACACTTTGCAGTCGTAATATAATATAAAAATGATAAGTGCCCAAACCGATAAAAATTCTTGTTACTCGCAGTGCACACATCTTATACTGAGATTTCATAAAATCTGAATCACCAGTATAAACATTTGTACAGCTAACTGAACAGAATTGTGTAACGTTTATCCTATCTTGCAGGAAAAACAACAATCCATGTCCGAAGAACTCGGCAAAGACGGCAACACTGTATTGAACTTACAGCGAAAGCATTCTGGATTTGAACACGATATCGTTGCCCTCGGCAGTCAGGTACAACAACTACAAGAAGATGCTTTGAGGTTGAGAGAAGCGTATGCTGGTGAGAAAGCAAGAGACATACACGCTAAAGAGGCAGAAGTTGTCAACGCTTGGAGGAGCCTGCAAGCCACTGTTGAGGGACGTAAAATCAAACTGGCTGATACCTCGGATTATTTCCGCTTCTTGAACATGGTGCGAGATCTAATGCTTTGGATGGACGATGTGACAATTCAGATTAATACACAAGAGCAGGCCAGGTAAATTAAAATGAGACATCTTAAAATTCATTGTACCCAAGTATGACCACTCTCTCATTTCTATTGAGTATCTCACAATATCATTTCTGGTCATTTCAGGGATGTATCTGGTGTAGAGTTACTAATGAACCAGCATCAGAACATCAAAGCCGAAGTTGATGCCCGTGATAATAGTTTTACTGAATGCTTTACGCTGGGTAAAGAAATGTTGGGTAGAAGCCATTACGCCTCCAAAGAGGTAAGTCTGATACTATATTGTGAATAAACATGAGAAAATATGCTGATTGTTGCATGTAAAACTTCATGACATCTATTAAAACACTGTTCATTACAGGTTTTAGCATCAGCCACAAAAATGAATTGTTTCATTCATTCATTCATTCATTTCAGATTCGTGAGAAGTTGGTAAGTCTTGGCAATCGTCGTGGTTCTATGATCGGCGACTGGGAACATAGATGGGAATTCCTGCAGCTCATCTTGGAAGTATACCAATTTGCTCGAGATGCTCATGTAGCCGAGGCATGGCTTATCAGTCAAGAACCACACTTGAGGAGTGAAGAGTATGGAGTAAGTGTATTATTGTGCAAACTCATTTTGTTAAAATGATGTATATAAATATTATTCTTATATATTTCGCAACTGACTTATTTTCCTTAATAGAATTTCTTACATTTTAAATGTCAACATTATGTGAAGTAATTGAGTTTCTTCTTTTACAGATGACCTTGGATGAAGTGGAGCTTTTGATCAAGAAACATGAAGCCTTTGAAAAATCTTTCCACGCTCAAGAAGAAAGGTTTTCGGCATTGGAACGACTTACAACAGTAAGTACTATCAGAGACATTACTGGTACTCATAAGTCCTGTTTCCAGATATTCATCCCTATTTTAAATGACTTGTGTATGCAATGTACACAAAATTAACTAGCATGTCATGAAACACGAAGTATCGTTAATTTAACTGATGGGAAAAAAAAATAGGTTGATAATTTACCCCAGTCAGATTGATGTGAATTTCAAAAAGACAAGAGGAAATGTTTTCAACAACAAAAAAAAGAAAATAATAACTTGTCTTGTTTTGCAGTTTGAATTGAAAGAACTACGCAAGAGACAAGAAGAAGAATATCGTATGATGCATCCAGATGCTGATATCCCACCTCGTAAAGAATCGCCATCAATGAAACATAAAGTTATAGAAGACTTCTTAAGAGAAGATAAAGAAATGGAAGAAATGGATAAGTATGTGTTTTTTCTTTTCTGAATCTGAAGATGAACTACAGTTTTAGTCAAAGTATGGATATTTCCTCACAAAATGGGTATTATTTCAAAATAATATCTGAATGATAGTGTAATAATTGAGTTCAATCTTTAGATTCATGTCTTATCATTTCTCCATAAGATTGAGGAGACGACAAATTGAAATTGATGAAGCACGTCGTCATGAGATGCAAGTAGAAAAACTTCAATATGAAAAAACACCTGAACATGTTGTTGAAGAGCATAAAGAAAGTGCTGGGGAGCCGCACGTCAATGGTGAAGAAGAGAAACCAGAAACGGCCCCAGCTGTAAGTAGGCGTGGTGTTGGTGAGGGCGAAGCTGGAATGGGTGAAGATGTGGAAGCAGAAGGCCAGTTGGCTAGAAAACATGAATGGGAAGCACATGCCAAGAAAGCGTCCAACAGGTAAGGAAACTGTTAAATTTGTGAAATGATAATAACATTTCTTTTGTACTTGGAAGAAACACTCAATCATGTGCATGGACAGAAAATTGTGCTCTAAAAAATGCCAGTCATAGCAGTGTTTTGATTTCATGTTCATGAGACACCAATACAAGATTATCTGTGTAATCTGTGTGTAGTAAGCCCTCTTAAATCCTTGATAATAAATCTGTCTGATTCCAGGTTTTTGACCTCACATACAAACACTTGTTTACATTGATCACAAAAGCATTTTATAACATGTGGAAATAGAATCATGTCACTGAACCCAAATGTTTACACAGAACAACATCTCTTCCTGGCATATTGGTTTTCTCTCTTCATATTATTACTACCGGTACAACCTGAAAACAAAATGTGCAATATTAAGGTTATCATGAGAATATTGCAAATTCTGCACTCGGGCAGTACACATGTCAACCCATACAATCACTGGTACTGCCTTTGTGCATACTTTGTTTGTAGTACTTTCTTGCTATAATCTCATAGCTTCCATGTGTAACAGTGTTGATTTGTTTTCATCAGATCTTGGCATCATGTATATGTGGTACAACAAGGCCCTATGCTATCGTTTTACAAAGACAAGAAGCACAAGTTACAAGAAATTACTTTCCACGGTGAAGAACCAGTGAGTGTCCTCAATGCAAAGGTGAACATTGCTGGTGATTACACAAAGAAGAAGCATGTTTTCCGACTCAAGTAAGTCATGTC